CTTATCTTTTAGGTTTTTTTTTTTTTTACATTTGTCATTAATTATTACGAAGTGAATTATTTATGACGTTTCATAGAGTAAAAAAAAAAAAAAACGTTTTTAACGTGTAGCAAAGGTAAAAAAAAAAAAAATGGCGGTTTGGTTTTTAATAAATTTTTCTTTTTTTTATTATTAATTATAACATATTAAATATATATATTATTTTGTTTTATCGTTAACGACGAAGAGTAGAAAGAGAGAGAGGAGGAGGGAGGGAAAAACGTTAAAAAAAAAAAATTTTGTTAACTAACGTAAAAATCTTGAAAAGAAATTAAAAAATTTTTTTTTTTACCCGATTTCAATTAATTATTTATCAGGTACCGTATCCAGGATTTAAAATTTAAAATTTTTATTATTATATTATGGAGCGTGCGTAATAATTTTTACCCTCTGGATTAATATCCTCCCCCCCCCCCCTTTATTCGTTTTTCGTACCTGAAACAATAAAAACAATAATTTTTTATTATTCATGAAATTAAAAAAAAAAAAAAAAAAGATAAAATGTAAATCTTTCTTACATTTCAATCTTTTTGTTGAATCCGCCCTTTTTTTTTGTTTAAAAAAAAAAAGGAAAACAATTTTTTAAAGTTTCCAAATAAAATTAATTATTAATGACCTTTTTCCAATTGTTGTTGTTGTTGTTGTAAATCAATAAATAAAAATTTATTTATTTGTTTACGAATTTATATAAATAATAATAATAATATTAATAAATAAGATGTATGAGGTTAAAATTATTTTTGGTGATTTACTAATATTTAGTTGTTGTTGTTGTTGTTAAATGTAATAATATCTTTTTTTTTATTACGTCCCCCCAAGGATAAATATTAACCGAAAGAAAAACATTTTTAATGTGGCCTCGAGGTTCGTTCGACCCCTCCCCCACCAAATTTTTAAAGAAGGAAAAAAAAATGGAGCGTGCGTGAATTTACGCGTAAATCGGAAAATGTGAAAATATTTTCAACATTTTCATATTTTTTTTTCAAAATGATAAAACCGGAAAAGGAACCGTTAAAAGAGAGAAAGAGAGAGAGAGAGAGAGAGAGAGAGAGAGAGGAAAAATGTCAACGGACAAAAAAAATTTCCGCTTCCGAAACGATTTTCTTTTATTCGAAAAAAAAAAAAAAAATTTTTTTCGGGGACGAAAAATACCGCCGCGAGGTAAAAAAATTGTGTGATTAAATCCCCTCTCCCCAACTTGCTCCTTAACTCCCCCCTCCATGATTCCCCCTTCCTCCGCATTTTAATCAATGTATTAATTTAATTTCGTTAACGTATTTATTAACATCAATATTATTATTATCATCGTCATGCGTACCTGAAGTGATTGACCTTTGATATTTTAAAAATTATTTAAAAACGTTAACCTGTTAATTAAAACTTTTTAATATTATAAATCACTAATTCCACGTCGAAAATTTTAATTTTTTTTTTTTTCTTACTCTATGACTTTTCTTTCATTTTCGTCACCCACTCGAACGTCCAAACCACGTCTTTCTATTTTTTTTTTTTTTTTTTAAACAAATAAACGCGGATTATTATGATTCGTTGAAATTTTTTTTGGTTTTTTCTAAAACGATTTTCAACCTCCTCCCCCCCTCATTCCTTTCCTCCGCCTCCCTCCCCCTTAGGAAAAAAAAAAAACGTTAAAATGTTAAAAAATTTATGGTGACATTTTCGAGTCGGCGGATCAAGAAAAACGGAACCAAACTGGCAAAGATAAAAAAAAAAAAAGTTTTCAAATGATTTCTGACTAAAGAAAGAAAGAAAGACAGAGAGAGAGAGAGTGAGAGAGAGATAGAAAGAGAAAGAGATAGAGAGAGAAAGAAAAAAACGTGTCTTTAGAATATAAATCAGCGATTTTAGAATGTCACTTGCAAATTAAAAGAAAATAATATAAAAATTTAGGTATACGTTTTTTGATGCCTTCCTTTTTTATTTTTAATGATGAATAAGAGTGAGAGAGAGAGAGAGAGGGGGGGGACAAAGAGAGAAAGAGAGAGAGGGGGGGACAGAAAGAGAAAGAGAGAGATTTATGAGTAAAAATTCTAGTTGGAAAAAAAAAAAAGTAGACTGACTAAAGGTAATCAGCAATAAGTCATTCACAATGCAAAACAGGCGCCGCCTTTAGTTTTATTTCATTGTAGGAGTTTCTGGAAAAAAAAAAAAATGATGACGTATTAATGATTAATTTTTAACTTTTTTACACATTCTCTCTCCGTCTCTCTCCCCGCCTCTCTCTCTCTTTTAACATTTTAAAAAATTTGAATTAAGAAAAAAAAAACTAAATTTTTAGTTAACGGCTCATTTTAATTTCGTCCTATTTCATTTTCATTTAATTTCTCCTTAAAAAAAAAAATTATCATTTATTTTTTTGAATTGATAACGTTTTTCTTTCTAGAATCTTCTTTTTTTCACTCTCTCTCTCTCTCTTTCGAATTTTAATCCCACGTTTTTTAAAAATTTAACAAAAAAAAAAAAAAATTCTTTTTAGCCATACGCCATCTTTAACGATCGAATCTTAATTTTTTTTTGTCACGCCAAATTCGTTTAATTACGAAATTCTTTAGTTGTTTACTACTATTAATTATTATTATTATTATTGTTTTAGGTAATAAATTAATATTGGGGATCGAACGGACAAAAACGAAATTTTCACCGTCCATATTGAAAAGAAAAAACAAAATGGCGATGGCGTGACACAAGACTAGTAAGTGTAAACTTTATAATTTGTTTTGTTATTTTCTGACACTTCTTCTTTTTCTTTCCTTTTTATTTCTCACCTAACGTTATAATTGGTATTATTATTATTATTATTATTATTATTTTCATTCACTCAAAGGCGTCTCCCCATTTTTTTCTTTCCAGTTTTTCTGTTAAACAGAAAGAAAAAAACGTTTTTCCGGTTTTTAAATCATCCGTTTTTTAAAAACATTTTTAACTGTTAAACTCTTTTTTGTTTGTTTATTGTTTGTTTGTTGTTTGTTTTATTTAATTTAACAATCATTATCATTATTATTAAAACAACTAATCGTTAAAATGTAAAAAATCACTGTCGTGATTATAAAAATCAAATCGATAAATAAATCATTTATTTATCGTAATAATAAAATGGCGCGAAATCGTGTGTGTGTGTGTTTGCGTTTTTTAAAAAAATCATTTTAAACGTCGGAAAATAATCGTGGCAGGAAATTTATCAATTATACGCTTTCTCTCTCTACAATAAACAATATTAAAAACCTTTTATAGCGAAAAAAAAATGCATAATTTAAATTTATGTGTAAAACAAAAACAAAAAATAAATAATCTTTCCTTCCCATTTTTCAATTATTATTAATTTTTTTATATTTTTTTAACGGTTAAATTCTAATGACACGTTTTTGAAATTTTTCATCTGCTTCATATCGATCGATCGATAAGTTAATTGAAATAATTAATTATTTTTATTATTATTTATTATATAAAATTATTAATTTTTTTTCTATAAAAATTTGCAAAAAAAAAAAAATTTCGAAGTTTTGTTTACGAATATTATTATTATTATTATTATTATTATTATTATTATTATTATTATTATCATTATTATTAAATAAAATGAAATAATAATAATAATAGTAAAATTAAAATAATAAAAGGGAATTTTAAATTTTTTTACCTGCACGAAAAAAAAAGAAAAAAAAAAATTAAAAATGCATTTTTAATCAAGCAGACAACAATAATAATTTTTTTTTCTTTTCTCTCATTCGTGTTTGTATGTTTGTACGTTTGTTGTTGTTGTTGTTGTTGTTGTTTAAGAGAGAGAAAAACTCTCAAAGGTTAAATAAATCGTTTTTTTTTTTTTCGTAAAAAATCATTCAATAATAACCCAGATACGTAAAAAAAACGTAAAATAAAAATGGCGGAAAGGTCGAAATTTTCTTTATTAATAATAATAATAATAATAATTTTCACGTTTCTATTAATGTGAAATTTTTTTCCGTTTGTTAGTTTGTTTGTTAGGTGTACGAATTGTCTTTAGGCATTTTTTTTTTCCAATAAATTATTATTATTTTTTTTATGAATAATTATCAATAACTTTAAATTAACTTAAAAATTTTTTAACGGTTTTTTTTAAAATTTATGTAAGTACTCGTTAGTTCCGGTTTGTATAGATAATAATAATAATAATAATGATTTTCTTTTTAATACTCGTTGAAACAAAAAAATATGCCGATGAATGACGAACGCGTGCGTTTAAATTTCCGACAAAAGGTGGCGGTGGCGGGGTTAATAAATTTTTTCATATCATCATCATCATCATCGCTTTTAAAATTTTTTTCCCAAAATGGCGTCTCTCAAACATTTCCCTTCCCTTCCCCTTCTCGCTTAATCATTCGAGTTATTTTTTTTTTTTATTTACGATTATCAAGATGGTAATAATTAGTAATAATAATAATAATTGATATAAATTATATATGAAAACAATAAAAAAATGAAAAAATAAAGAATAATAATAATAATTTATTAACTTAATGATCCGATAATGACGTGAGATAAAAAAAAAAAAACGAGGAAATCATGATTATTCGATTGCTATTAAAATCTAAAACTGAATTATATAAACGATATAAATATATATCGAAATTAAATCGATAGATATCGAATCAATCGATATATTCATACATACATAAAAAAAAAGCGGTTTGAAAAAAAAAAAAAACAAAAAAACAAAATTATTATTATTAACGTGATTCACGTTTTAACTATTAAATTTTATTATCAATATTATTATTATCGAAAAGAACTTTCTGGAACATAATTCGTTGATAGATAGGAAATTTTCATTCAAAATTATCATATTTAAAAGTAAATTAAAAAGAAAAAAAAAAAATTTTTTTTTTTTTTTGAGAAAATTATGAAGGTTAAAACGTAGGATTGAGTGTAAAAAAATTGTTTCGCCTATGTAAAACAATGTGAAACGATTAGTCTTCTAATACGTAAAATTGAGTATCAGTCGATTGTAAAGAATTTTCGTATAAAACGTAAGACGGTGAAAATTTTATTTGTTCGCTTGGTGGGGGGCTTGTGGTGGTGGTGATGGCGGTGGTGATGCTGTTGCTGTCGATTTTAGACGAACATTCTTCACCGGATCGAGATGATAATGATGAATTTGATAAAACGTTTATTAAAAGTATATTATTGTATTCTTCTGTCGTCGTCGTAGTTGTTTCTTTGGTTTCTTTGGATTCAGTCTTTTCGTATTTATTAATTAACGTGTCGTTAATATATAAATCGCAATCGACAACTTTTTCCATTTTACCCGCCGCCATTTTTAATTTGAAATCTTTTTCAATCGGCGACGGATACGAACGTAAACATTTTTTATCCTTCGGTTTGATTTGTTTTTTAAGTTTTTCCAATTCCATTTCTAATATTTTTCTCTTGTCTTCCAATGATGTTCCGCCATTTTTAATAATTTTTTTACCATCTTCGAACGGTTTCGGTGCTATCGGATTGAATTTTTTTGCGATCGTTTTTATTTTTTCCTTTAAAGCCGCCGCCGCTTCCGCCGACGCCACCGCCGTCTCTGACGAAGACGACGTGGAAGACCTGAAATTAAAAAAAAATTTTTTTTTACCAATATTAAATCTAAAACGAAGCTTTCTTTTCCTCTACACCTCCTCCCCTCATCCCCGCCCCCCGCGAAAACGAAAAAAAATAGTAATATTAATAATAATAATAATACTCACTTTGTGGCGACGTGATTTTTTCCACGTTTGAAAACTTTTGACGATTTTTTACAAATCGGATTCGTTACGTTGAAATCATCTTCGTCTCTTATATAAATCCCAGCTGCAGCCACGGTTTCATTGGCGCGATAATCGTTTTTGTGATTTTCCGACAAGTGAGATTTAAATTCTTTTGACACGTTCGTATCGTATGTGCACAATTTACATTCGTAGAGTTTTTTACCCGGGTGTATTCTCGTGTTTAATACGTGTTTCCTTAAATTTTCCTGTTTTTTTTTGTTTTTTTAAACAAAATAATAATAATGATAATAAAACAATAATATAAAATATCGTATTTAATTATAATCATTTTACACATATATATTAATAATGATAATAATAATAATAATAATGAAAAAGCACTAGAAAATAAAATTACGTAAAATAATATTTTTATTTATAATAAATTTGAAAATTTTAAGAAAACGAATAGTAATTAATTTAATTTGTTAAAAGATTTCTTGGGGAAAAACGTTTTTCATAAAATCTGACGCGTCGAACGCGTGATAAATAATAATAATAATAAAATGAAAAATATTTACCAATATGTTACAAGAATAAGAACAATGAGGACACTTGTAAGGTTTAGCACCCGTGTGTAGTCTCAAATGACGTTTCAAATGTGATTTTAATCTTCCTTTAAATGGACAATGCGGACACGGAAAAGTTCTTTCGTCTGCGTGTATTAAAAAATGCCTATGAAAAATGATAATAATGATAATAATGGTGTCCCCTCGCGACGGTTATTCCGGATATGGAAAAAATTTTCACTCACCTTTTTATTATCGTGTTTGTTTTTGCGTAGTATGGACATTCCGGACATTGAAATAATTTCGGTCCTATGTGAACGAGACTGTGATTTTCTAAATCTTTTAAATCTTTTGCCGAATATTTACACTTTGGATCCCCGCAAATTTGCCTGCAAAAAAATTAAATCGTCTATTGACACGACGAGAAAAAAAAAATTTAGGAAAAAAAGAAGATGAAAAAGTTTTTTTTTTTATTAAACGTTGTGAAAGAGTTTATTATTATTATCATAATTATCATTATTATCATTAAGTAGCATTTGTCTTATTTAACACGCGAGTTACCAAGTTCAAAAGGTCGGTGAGAGAGTGAGAGAGAGAGAGAGAAAGAGAGAGAGGAGTACAATGAGGAAATCAACAACAACAACGTGAAAGAAAGAAAGACCAGTGACGGAATTTAGTAACTCCATCGAAAGAAAGAAAGAGATGGAGAGAGTGGGTGATGAGAAATAGAGAAAGAGAAATAGAGAAAGAGAAGGAGAGAGAGAGAGGGGAGTACAAAATGGTGGTGTGAGGGAAAAGACAAAATGAGATTTTACTCTTACGAGTGTGGGATTTCTCTTTATAATTTCCAAACTTAATTTACATTAAATGCTCGTAACATATTAACAACAAAAATTCTTCTGCCACGTATCAAACAATCATATTAAATTTTAATAATAATAATAATAATAATAATTTATAAAGTACTCATGATGCATTCATACGTATTATTATTATTATTTATTTATTTATTTTTTTTCGATTCTTCGTTTGTTTCTCTTTCCAATAATTTTTTTTTTTGTTGTCGATCCACTTTATCATTATTTATTTCATTTTTAAAAAACGGAAACGGTAACTAGACGGGCGATGAATTGGAAGAAAAAGAGAGAGAAAGAGAGAAAAAAAGAGAGAGAGAAATTGTTTTATAAAGATTTGCCAAAGGGTTTAATTATCAACATCAACTTGAAAATGATTCCTTCCCATTTTTTTTCTTCTTAGTTTTACCTTATTTAATCCCCGCCCTTATTTACAATTCTTTTTTTTTTTTTTTTTTGTTTCCTTTCTCGTCTACTGCCACGAACGAATTATATTAAAATAAATCCTTTCTTTCTCTCTTTCTCTCCCCCCAGAAACGAATTTAATGAATAAAAATCAATTAAAAGTAAAGTAAAAAAAAAAAAAAAGGGAAATTTATTTAAATACATGAATTCGCATACGTTTAAATTTTTTTGCTGGAAAAAAAAAAGTGGAAGAAGAATAAAAGTTTCCTTTTTTTTTTACTTTTAATTTACTGGACGGATAATTATTTATTAAATAAATTCAAACAACCGTGGTAATAATAATAAATATAAGAATAACAAAAACTTTTTTTTTTTTTTTTAAACTTAAATAACGACTCAATAAAAATTTATTAACTTTTTTCTTTTCTCTCGTTTCCAATTTCCGACTAATTTATTAATTTTATTTAAATAAAAAAAAAAAAAAAATTTTTTTTTCGGTTTCGATTACATTCGATGACGAAATGAAAAAATAAATGCGTCAAAAAAAGGAAGATGAAGATCCGGGAGGGGGAGGGAGTGGGGTGGGGAAAAAAGAAAAATTCAAAACGGAAAAAGAGGCGATGATGGCGGTGGTGGTTGTTGTTGGTTGTTGTAAGGAAAATCAATTGAAATTATCCAGAAGCCTATTTTTAACCCAACAATTTTCCCCTTCGACCACTGCTCCTACCGCTATCATCATTATCATTGTAGTCGTCGCAGTCGCCGACACTTATTCTATATATACCCTTTGCCAACAGACCCGCAGCAGCAGCAACAGCACCCCTTTCTTCTCCCCCAACGGTTTTTAATCGCAAAAGCACAATCTCTAAATACTATAAAATATCAAAAGCTTTAAATAACAGCGCAAAAGAGGACATTAGCGCTAAAAATTATGACCTACTATGTTATACGAAAATGTCAAGTCGAAAAGCAGGCCTCCCCATTCTCTTTTTTGATTCCTCCTCCCCCACCGCCCCTCCTTCTCCTACTCACGTCTCCGCCGTCACTTTTTCTTCCACCCTCTTCTCTCTTCGATTTTATCCCTACGACTCTTTTCTTTCTCTCTCTCTCTCTTTTTCTCACTTCTTTCCTTTTTCTCTTTCTATCATTCATTTTCTCATTTTTTTTTTTCCCTACTCTTCTAAAACTATTTCATTCTCTTTCGGAGCGCACAGGGGGGAGAGCGGGAGGGGAAAGGGGAAGGAGAGGAAGGGAAGGAGAAAGAAGAGTGGAAAAGGGTTGAGCGTGTGGCCAAAGCAGACAGATAGAGCGTGAAAACTTTGTAATGTGAGACAGAGCGAGAGAGAGGGGGGATAAGGGGAGGGGAAAACCCGTGGATTCGGTGCGAGGAGGAGGAGGTGTTTCAACAATATCTTAATGACTTTTCTCGCATCTTTTGCTCTAGATTTTCCTCATTTTTGCGGGGGAAACGATGGCAATTTTCCGGGCTCCCCGTTTATCTCTTTTTTCTCCCCCCCCCTCTTCTTTCCACATTCTCTTCCTCCATTCATCCCGCGTACCGCTGACATTGCCGCCAACTTTGTTTTCTCATTTTCTCTCTCTCCCCCCTCCCTCTACTACTTCCCTTCTCTATTTCCTTTTCTCTTCTTCTTCGTCTTCGTCGTCGTCTCCGTCGTCGATTTTTCTCGTCACGGTTTCATTATTAATTATTACTTTACTCTTTGTGTCTGCGTTTGTTTGTTTGTTTGCTTGTCTTTTTTTTCTTGTTTGTAATCAGTAATTCGAACCATTCTGACTAAAGGATTAAAAAAAAAAAACAAATCAAATAAATAATTCAATCGCCTTTTCATTCACTTTGCCTTATTTTTTTTGTTTTGTTTGTTTCGTCGTGTACAAACAAGTTGTTCTTCATCTTCTCTCTCTTTCTCATATTCATTGTATACGTTTTATTTTAAAATTTATATTTATTTATATATTTTATTTATTTATATTCTCGTCGTTTTTTTAATTTATTTACGTGACAAACAAACCACCACGTAAAATAAATTTTTCAAATTTTTTTTATTTTTATTATCATTATTAATAATAACAACTCGGTCGTTTTTTTTCTCTCTTTCTCTCTCTCTCTTTTTTTTTTTATTAAATAATAATCTCGATAGTATAATGATGATAATAATAATAATAATATCTATCGTGTAAAATCGTTGAAAACCGAAACACAAACGTGAAATTTTCGTAAAGTTTCACATATTAAATAACTAAAATGTGTTTATGAAAAATATATTTATATATTATATACGTTTAACCGTAACAAAATTTTTATATAATTAAAATTTATATTTTTTGAAAAGGTGCCGAAGAACGAGAGAGAGAGGAGGGGTAGAGGGGAGAAGGGAGAGGAGGGGCGGAAACGAAAAGTAGGAGGAGTGAGGGGAGTGAGATAGAGGCAGGAAAAATGTAAAAAAGGTCGAAATATGGGAGAAAAAGGTTCAAACGTAAGGGAGGAGAAGGAGGAGAAAGGGGGAAGTGATGGAGGGAGGGGAGGAGAGGAGAGGAGAAGGAAGAGGTCAACAAATGAGATTTGGAGGTTTCAAAAATTACGTAATAAATTTTTAAAATTTTGTTAAATCAGGGAAAAAACGTTTATGTTTACAAATTTTACACTACCATTTTTTTTTTTTTTGGATGAAAAAGAAAAAAAATTACGATGAGGGAAAGGAAAAAGAGAGAGAGAGAAAACTAGTTAGATGAGAAAATCGGTAGGAAAAAGTGAGGGGAGAGAGAAAGAGGCGGGGAAGGGTAGGGGGAAAAACAAAAAAAAAAAAAAAAGAAACAAGAAAAGGAAAAGCTAACGTCGTTAACACTTGTGCTCCTGTTTACCGAGTTTTTTGGAATAATTTACTTTTTTTTTTCTCCAACCCCCCCCCTTCCTCCCCCCCGACAATCTCGAACCAAAAAAAAATGACGTCGCCATTTCGAGTTGTATCAACAGGAAAATCACGGGATTTTTTTTTTGTTTAAATAAATGATGACGTCAAAAATGAATAAATCAAAAAAAATTTTTTTTTTTTTAAAAACTTTTTTTTTTTTTTCCAATCCTTTGAATGATGATAACGTTACGAAAAAAAACAAAACAAATCAAAAAACATGTGGCAACAAGTCGAACCCAGAAAATGATAATAATAATTTTTCTCCCTCGTACGCTGGAACCAAAAAACATTTAACTTATCAATCGAAAAGAAAAAAACTTTTCCAGCAGTTTTCCGTCCGTTTTTCTCGTTTTTTCCCTTTTTTTTTCCTGTAAATTTGTTCGATCAAAGTGAAAATTTCAATAAAAAAAAGCAGAAGAAAAGAAAAAAAAAGAAAAAAAAAAAAGAAAAAAAAAAAAAAAAAAATAGAAAAATAGAAAATGAAAAAACAAAACAAAACGAGGAAGAAGGAAAGGAGGAGGAGGAGGAGAAACAATGAAAAAGTGTAAATCAGCAATAAGCAATCGTGCGGGGAGGGGGACGATGAGGGAAGTGGGGAGTGGGGAGGTGCGTGTACAATTTCAAATTGCCAATATCTTCCAATCAACCAATGATACGTGCCTGGAATATAAAATTTTATTTTTATTGTTTCAGGTTTCATCATACAATAACCAACCAACCAACCAACCAACCAACTTCCACCACTAACTTATTTATTGTTTTCCATTTAAATTCAATGGATTTATACAAAGGAAAAACAAAAAAAAAAAGGAAAAAATGGTTTCTTTAAATTATGGAAAAACAAAAAAAAAAAAGAAAAAGGAAAATTCTAGAAAAATGCTACTGGAATTAAATTAAAAATCGTTTAAGATAATTTCGTATGATGTGACTCGCACTGGATAAAAAAAACTTTTTCGTTTTATTCGAATCGAATTTGCGATTCGTGACGAAACAAAAAAAAAGAAAAATCGATCAATCGTTCGAGTATAAATCGATTAATCGATCGATTATCAAATTACGTAAAATTACCACCACAAAAAAAAAAAAAAAACAAATCAATTTTTTTAAAAAAAAACTTTTAACTTACTCGACGTAAACAAAATGGCATCATACGAAATTAAAAAAAAAAAAAAAAATGAAAGAAAAAAAAAGAAAGAAAGAAAAAAATCCAGCGTTCCAGCGCAATAAATTATTAAAAATTCCAGATTTTGCATAGTCGGCCATTAATTAATCAGTTTCCATAATTTTAAAGAATTCAACCCGCCCATTCGGTAATAAAAAAAAAAAAAAAAAAAATTATTTTTTTTATTTTTTTTATTTTCCTCTCCATTCTTTTCCAGTTTGAAACCGAAAACAAATTAAAAACCCTTTTTTTTTTTTTTTATTTTGAAGAGAGGGAATAATAAAACAAATCACTCCGATTTTCTTTTCTTTTGTTTTTTTTTTTTTTTTTTGAAATCATTTGGACAAAAAAAAAAAAAAAATGGATTCTGGAACGGAAAAATGGAAAAATGAATTTTACACCTAAACTGATAGACGTTTAACCTGGCATTTACATACGGAAAATAAAAAAAAAAAAAATCTATGAATTCTCATCGGCAATATTTCTTTTTTAGAATTTTTCTTTAACGACAGCGACAACAACAACAACAACAACTCGAACAAACAAACAAACAGACAAAAAAAAAAAAGATGGGGGGGCATATTTTAAACCTTTCCTCTACTACTCCCTCTTCCTACCTCCCTCCCTCCCGAACGAAGAACGACGAACGACGATATCCGCCCCCTTCGTTTCATTATGGATTCCCTCATAATTCTTTTAATCTGACGCCCCGGCGTATAAGAATTATTATTATTATTATTATTTCTGTGAAAATTTTGTTTTTCGCTCTTTTTTTCCTCGCCCTCCCTTCCCCCTTCCCCCTCTCTTTTATTATTAAAAATCAATTTTTTTTCAAAAAAAAAAAAAAAATACCTTTTGTCTTTTTCATCAAATTTTTTTTTTTTTTTGTCTTTCCAGGTTGGAAAATTAATAATCGTTTTTTTTTTTTTCCAGAAGTTTAAATGATGGAATTTCTTCGAAACGACGCCATTTTGAAAATAATGATCGTTGTACTCTCGATGGGATAGAATGTATTGGGGTAAGTTTTTTTTTTTGTTTTTCTTTTTTTTTAACACACGTGCGTGAATTTTTTTATTTTTCCTTTCGTCAGTGATAAAGAAAATGAGAAGAAAGATAAAAAATTAATTTTTTTCCTTTTCCTTTTCTTTCCTTTTCTTTTCTTTTTCTTTCTCTCTCTCTCTCTTTTTTTTTTTTTTAAATTTATTTCTAATTTAGGTTATGATTTTGAAACGTCGATCCGCCACATAAATAAAAATGTTATTACAAAAGGTGGAAGGAAATTATGAATTATGAACTCATAACAGAAACATGTCTGGTTCATCTCTTTTTTTATTTTTCATCTCTATCTCTCTCTCTCTCTCTCTCTCTCTTTTTTTTTACTATGGCTATCAACTTTAATCAAAGAAATTTAACGAAGGCAAACTACTAACCAAAATCTATGGCGACGTCGCGTTAAAAAAAAACGATACTTTTTCACGTTTTCCAGACGAAATTTTTTTTTCCTTTTCCCCCCTCCCCTTCCCCTCCTCTTTTTTTATTATTTTATAACTTTAACTAATAATAAATGCAAACAATAATATATTTCAACAAAAAAACAAAAATTTTTCAGTTTGTTTTTTTGTTTAACGCCAAAAAAAAATTTTTTACTTCATAAGAAAATTATTATAACGTTTGTCAATCGTTAAAAAAGGAAAAATTTATTTATTTTTTTTTTCGTGTGACGTCATTTATATTAAAAATTAATCTGATTGGTTGATTTTTCCCCCGTGATCAAATATTGATTCGTTGAAAAATTAGAACGCGATAATTCTCATTGGTCATTCATTTAGTTGTCATAATTCAGAAATCTTTTTTTTTTCTCCTTTCTCTCTCTCTCTCACTTTCCCCCCCGTAAAACTTTCTTTCTTTTTTTTAACCGTCAAATTCATTCTTGAAAAAAAAATGGAGGTGAATTTTTTGAACGTGACGAACGGACGTTCGCTAACGCATGCAATTTCGTTTTTAATTTTAAGAAATAATAATGAGAATGGAAATTACCTTTTTTCTCCTAAAATTTTCCGTATCGATTCCATTTCCGTTTTATTATTTTCCTTTTCGTTACTTTTTTCTCCTTCTTTATTTTCTTCACTCCCTCCGCTTCGCATTCTTCTTTCTTCATTATTTGAATTCGTTTCCGTTTCTTCGGATTTTAATTTAATAAAATGTTTCGATTTCAAATGTGCGACAAATCTATCCTTTCTAACGTATTTACACGAACACATCGAACACTCGTAAGTTTTTTCTTTCAAATGAGTTTTTAAATGAACGCTCAATACGGATTGTGTGAATTTTAAACCGCATATCGGACACGATATTTTTCCGATTGTTTCGTTCGTGTCATTAGATTTATTTCCCTTTTCGAATTCGTGTAGAGACGTGTGAAGGAGAAATTCGGATTTAGAATCCGTCACGAATGGACAGGATTTACATTTGAAAGATGATTCGAATGAGGAAAATTGAATTTTTTTTTGTTTAGAAAAAGAACATTCTTTGTTTTTCGTGTGTCGCGAAAGTTCTTGCGATAGGGCAAAGGTCATTCCACATTTGATGCATTTGGGTAAAAAGGATTTGTGTTCGTCGTGTAGGTGACGTTTTAACTTTTCCACATCATCCAATACCTTATCGCAGTATTGACAGGTTCTCGACAAACCTTTGTCGCTCCCCTTTTTCCCCGTTTTTTCCATTTGGGATTTTTTGTATTTGTGCGACTGACCGTTCCTGTGATTTTTAGCTTGTTGAACGGTTTGAAAAAATTCATCACAAACGCTGCAAAAATATGGGATTTTTATATCGTCTTTGTGATAGTTAATTATGTGCCTCTGAAGTGATTTCATACTTTTGCAAACGTTTTCGCACAGAGTGCATTCGAACTTTCTAGAATTTTTATTTTTCGAATCGTCTCGATGAATTTTCTTGTGACGTTCGAGTTCGCGATTATATCGAAATTCTTTCGGACAATTATCGCACCTGATTATAACCTTTCGTCTTATTATTATCGGTATCGATTTATTGACGGCGAATATAACTTCCCTGTGAGAATTGCTATCCAAGTGTAGTTCCATTGATCGCGACGTCTCGCATTCGAAAGTGCAAAAAGCGCACCAAAACCTGTGGTCACCATCTTCCATATCTTTGTGAACTGGAAGAATCCAATGGTTTTTAAACGATGATCGCGTGTTGCAATAATACTTACACATGCCACACTGATAAGGTGCCTGTTTAACGATCATGTGTATGTTGTCCAGTATCAACTTCCTTTGTTCCGGATCGTTCAATTGTGTTCTCCTGTGGTGATAGTAGGACACGAGATGTTTTCCCAATTGATAACCTGGAATTTTGATTTTGCAAACTTCGCATCGTATCAATTCTTTTCTCGTTATTTTTTTTTTCTTTTTCATCATTTTCGTTTTGATTTCATTTTTGAAATTTTCTTTTTCGTTGATTTCGTCGTCGTAGAGTTTAGGTTTTTTTATTTTTCTTTTACCCAATCCTCTTTCTTTACGATTCGCTTCGATGAAAATCCCGCGAAATAATTTCAACGATCGCGAATCGTATTCCAAATCGTTTTCTTGAAGAACTCTTTTGAAATGTAATTCGGATTGTACGTGTTTTTTAAATAATTTTTTAGACGACAGCCTCCTGTTGCACGGCGAGCAGTAATATTGTATCGTTCCCCCCGATGTTTTCAAACATTTACCGGAAGTGCTTTGACAGTTGGCGACAATGTCGAGTGTTGATTTGTTAAGAGAATTTTTCCGGGATTCGGGTGTCCACTTTCCGAGTGCGTGACCAAACGTTGGCACTTGAAGATCACCTTTCGGCGACAGGGATTCATTTTCAAAATATTCGTTTGTTTCCCATTTGTCTTCGTTTAAATCCAGACCGGAATTCGATTGTTGATTGTCGCATTTCCAAATATTCTCTTCTATTATATCTTGTTCGGATTTTTTCACCTTTTGCGGGACCTCCGAAGGTTTCCATTTACCACCCGTGTGAGTTGTAGGTGGTGCCGAAGGTTTCCATTTTCCTCCCGTGTGGGACGATGGTGGCACGGGTGGTTTCCATTTTCCACCGGAAGGAATCGCGAAAGAATACTTGGCATCTTTATTTTCCGTCGTGAAATAACTGAGCGTGTCAGGTCGTGATTTACAATAATCGTTTTGATTTTTATCATCGAGTAAACTTTCCCAATTTTGCGATTGCCAAAACGTGATTGGAGACGTTCCATTCATACTTCCGGGTTTCCATTTTCCACCCGTGTGAGATCTCGGTGGCACGCTATTATATTCATCCATATCGTCTAAAAAATTTTCGTCGTAGTCGTCGACTTCGAGTAAATCGTCTTTTTCTTCCGGTATGACATCGCTCAAAAGAATCGGACTCATTGAAAATAATTCCGGTGTGAATCTTCTGCTGCCACTATTATTTTGTAAATCCTGATTTAAAATTTGTTTATTTTCGAATAATTTATCATCGCATTCTTTTTTAGTATTTATATTTTGAAATAAAATCCAATCGACGTCATCTTTTGTTTTATCAATTACGTCATCGAATACTTTGACGTTTAATTGCTGCTGTTGCTGTTGCTGCTGGTTTTGTTGTTTCTTACCATCTCCAAAATTTACGTTTTTTACATCAAAATTAAATTTTTTCTTATTCGGATTTTTTTTCCTTTTACCCTTTGAACTCGTTCTACTACGAATTTTATTACATTTTCCTCTTTTGACACTTTCGTCATTTTTTTTCATTTTTAAAATGGATTTATTATTATTATTATTGATTTTTTTTTTCATTTTCGAAAGTATCGATTTAGGATCCGTCAGAGATTTTAGCGAGTCGTTATTCGGTGCGAAAAATGTCCGACTCCTCGTCACGATCCCCGAGGAAAATTTATTTTGAAAATTTAAACCGATCACACCGGACGTGATTTTAGAACTGCTTTGCAATTCTAAAGAAGAAAAAAAATCATCTGCTTCCACGTTTCCCAAAATAGAACTCACTTCATCGCTCACTACTTCCTGTTTTTCACAAACGTTCCTACTGCTGTTGTTGTTGCCATTGTTATTATTACTCTTACCATCTTCTCTCAACTTTTCACCGGAAGTTTCATCTTGGATTTTCCTGTAAGAAATCGATTCGTATTCTTCCATATTAACAACCATTTCTTCTTCTCTCGTCGGTAAATTGTTCATCGAATAACCGTCATCGAGTTCGATGGTTTTTAAAAAATAATTTGAATCTTCCATTATTATTTTATCTGAAAAACATAAAAATAAAATGTTTCAACAAAATCGGAAAAAGATAATCGTGTTAATTTTTTCACCGGATATAAAAAAAAAATGACTCATCGATCATTACGTACGTAATTCAACCTGTTATTGTTAAATATAATGAAATAATATATAAAACAACAGATGCGCTACGATTCGAATGATAACTTTTCCGAAAAAAAAAAAAAATTATAAAGAATCAATCATTTTTCATTCATTCATCAATCGGAAGAGGAAAAATTTCCAATCGATCGATCGATCGATCGGTATAATTTCAAAATAGAAACAACAAAAAAAAACGTGTTTGATTTTATACATAAAAAAAAACCTAATAAATGGCGCCTGAATTAAGTAAGGAAAACCAATTTTAAAGAAGAGGCAGAGGGAGGGGGAGCGATCCGCTTCCCCCCGCGCTTTGTTTTATTCCGACAATCGAGTATTGTGTGGTGGTGGTAGTGGTAGTGATGATGGTGGCAATATTAAAAAATACAAAATAAAAAAGTAAAAATGTATCCAATTTTTTTTTTGAAAAACAAGTTAAAATGAATGAGAACAATAGAAAGTAAATAATAGTAGTCATGAACAGTCGTACCAACCGGAGGATCGACCAACCGATCATCAAATCAACCTCCAGGTACGCTCTCATATTAATAATTATTAAAAAAAATAAAAAATAAATAATTTTATATTAGTTTCGGTTTTGAAAAGTTGAAAGTAATAAAAATAAATTTTTCTTCTTCTTCTTTTTTTTTTTCTTCTACTTTAATAACCGATGCTAATTATTAATTTAATTGTAACCAATAAAAAAAATTTTCTTTCTTTCTTTCTTTCTTTTTTTCAGGTACTATTATTATTATTATTATTATTATTATTATTATTATTATTATTATTATTATTATTAATTTACGTGCAATGGTTATTTATGTTTATTAAACATTTTCAAGAGAGGGCCACCGTATTCGCGTACTCTCCCTTCCTCCTCCTCCTCCTCTCTTCTATAACGAATTTTAAAACTGGAACAACTAAAATGATGAAACCCCCTTTTCCCCTCCTCCCCGTTTTTTGCATATTATTATCATTTTCCTCCCATCTCTCCCTTCTCTCTCTCTCTTTCACTTTTGCCACTCCCGAAATAAAAAAAAAAAATTTCCGTCAAAATCAAAAATGAATAATACCAAATAAAAACTTTTTCTCCCTCTCTCTCCCTCTTCCCCTCTCCCCTCTCTCTCTCTTTTTCTCCAAACTTGTCTTTTTTTTTATTAAAATTGATTTCTTTTAATCTAAAAAAAAAACCGTTGAAAAGAAGTTTTGTATATATAGACCCACCAAAGATGTCTTCCTGCCGCCCACTTTTTATAATTTACATTCGAATTCGAATATACTACATTCGGCGATTTATATTTTTTAAATCTCTCTCTCTCTCTCTCTCTCACATCATTTATATTTCCTCTTTTTTTTTACACTCTTTCTCTATCTTTTTATTATTATTATTTATTTATTTATTTATTATTATTATTATTATTTTAAAAATCAGGTATTCGAGTTTTTGAGTCGAAATAATATGGTCCCATTATTGTCTTGGATCCATGATGGACAGTTCGAGTTTTTTTCTTTTTCTTTTTCCTTCTTCTTCTTTGAAATGATTGCGACGTCGCATGGACTTTATTATAATACGCCTAACATAATTTAATCTTCTTTCAATGTCAGTTTTTTTCTTTTTCTTTCGGTTTCGATAAGTTATCGACCTTCCAAGATTTTTATTATTGAAATAACGACCATTAGGCTTTTCATTCTTTTCCTCATCTTCTTCTTCTTCTTCTTCTTTTTTTCCTCATTCACGTAAAAAAAAATTAAAATCCAACCGTTTTTTTTTTAAAAGTATTTTTACATAAAGATACGGAATAATTTTTTTTTTTCGGTGGTTTTTTACCCGGCTGAACGTTTTTTATTTAAATAATATTAAAGATGGCGTTCGGAAAATCCTGTTGGATGTTGTGAGTAAATAATAACAAAAAAAAATCAATATTTAATCAAACTATCTTTTTACTGTTTTAAACGATGAATTTTCTTTCTATTTTGTTTGTCTCTCTTGTAATTATTATTATTTTGTGCGACAACTACAAACAAACAAACAAACAAGCGTCATGTAAAAAAAAAAAATAAAAATAAATTAAGGCTCATTGTCGGGTGTTAAAATCAATATTCGCGATTTTTTTTTTTAATCTCAACGGATTTTTTCGAAATTATTATTATTATTTTTTTTTTAATAATCGATATTTAAAAAAAACTGTAAATGTAAAAAATTGTGTGCGTTTATTTACTCTATGCCCTACTAAAACCCCCTAAAAAAAATTAAATTTGATATTGAAAAACTATTAATTAGTTTTATTCTCAATTTTTTTTTTTTTTAATTGTTTGTAATGGTCGCTCTTTACAACTTTTTTTTTTTTTTTTAAATTATTTCCGTGAAAAATTTGCAAAAACAAACAAACAAACAAACAAACGAGAAAAAAACAAAACAAAACGCGACAGAGGGGGAATAAAAAAAAAAAAAATCAATCAATATTATTTTACCATTTTGGTAACCCCTGGAAATTTTTAAAGCGAAATATTTTTTCCCTCCGCCATTTCAAAAAATTTTCTTTTTTCTACGAATTAAAAATATTATTAAACGATAGAGAAGAAGAGGGAGGGAAGGGGAGGTGGAGATGGGGAATCATTCATTGGACAAATACGAAAAAGAAGAAAAAAATAGAGAGGAAAGAAGAGAGAAATTGTGCGTGGAAAAGTAAAAATTTTTTTCGGATCTCTTGACGCACACATATAAAAAGTTATTATTATTATTACTATCATTATCATCATCATCATCATCATCATCATCATCATCATCATCATCATCATCATCATCAATACGTAATTAAAAACGAAAAGAAAAAAAAAAAAAATCGATAATCGTCATACACAATCGATGATGGAACTAAACAAAACATTTTGGGGTGGAGCACCACCACCACCAAGAACAACAACAGGAAAAGAGGGGGTTTCAAGGGGGGAGGGATCATCATCAGAGTAAAGTTTTAGTAGTGGTAGTAGTAGTATGACAACAAACTTGAAATTTTTTCTTTTCGATTCGAAGAAGAAGAAAAAAAGTAGAAAAAAAGAAAATTTTTTTTTTTAAAAAAAGGGAAAAAAGTATTTAGTAATTGTAAATCTAAGTTTGTCGGGCGTCGCGACACATTTGTAATCGATGCAACATCTTGCGCCGGTTGTCTTCTGCTTGCAGCCCATTACGCACGTTAATAGCTTTCCTGGTAGCTGAGGGTTTTTAATCAGGGGTCGACAAACCCGATCCGACGTCTTTCCTTTATAAAAACATTTATATCTGTCAGTGAAATCGAAGAAAACATTGATTTTAAAACCCATTCTGTCAGGTTCGTCGTGAAACGTCATTACTTTTAAGAAAAAAAAAACAAAAACACACAAACACGATTGATTACGGTCATCTTCGGTTCCTTTTTCGATAAACGAAACCGATTGATAATGATAATAATAATATATTTTACACCTGAACCTCACGTCAGGTACGTAAATACGTACGTACGCATCTCAAAAAAAAAATAAAAATAATTTTTCCCTGATTAATCGACGAAAGAAAAACAAACAAACAAAGTTATTTGTCGCAATAATACAAAACGTTTTTTTTTTTTTTTTCATTTGTACGACAAATTTTTTTGTACGACACTCAAAGTTTCTAAAAGGTTAAAAAGGTTAATCTAAGAAATGCGAAAACTCGTTTTAACTACGAACCATGAAAATTTCAATGAACACAATAACAAAAAAAAAGAAAAAAAAATTTAAATAAGGTGAAAAAATATTGTGTAATGGTAGTGAAGGGGAGGTACACGGGGTCTACAAAGATAACGTAAGGGAAACGGTGGTCAAAAAAAAAAAAAAAATCTCAAACCCTCATATTAGTTTTGAATTTAGTTACATAAATCATCGAGTCTTTTAGCCTCTCTCTCTCTCTCATTCTTTCATTTCTTTTTTTTTTTTTTTTTTTATTTCGTGGTTTTTACCATGAAACATTTTCCACTTGAATCCTTTGAAAACACACCTTTGAACACCTTTTAATACTTTTAAACAAGGATTAAACTAACAAGTTGGGATCGTACTTTGTTTTTTTTTTTATTATCATCAACGCGTACAAGTTCAAATTTTTTTTTTCTTATCCGTAAAAGGGATGATGATGATGATACGAACCACCCCTAAACGAAAGAAAGAAAGAAAACTTTACGAAAAAAAAAAAAATTCGTTTTTCACCACCGCGTCATTTTCTTTTTAATAATTCGAATTTAAATAAACTAATAAAATTTTATTGATCCATAAGTAATTATTATTATTATTATTATTATTATTTAAATAAATATAAAAAAGAAAAGAAAATTTTTTTTTATTTTTTGGCTCCCGAGGAAGAAAATTTTTTTTTTTTTTTTCCATTCGATTTGAATCAAATAATAATAATTATTATTGTAAATTATTTAAATATCCAGTTTTTGTAAATTATTAATTTTTTATTTATTTAATAATAATAATAATTTATAACTTTTTTATTTTACGATTCGTTTCCGTTTTAAAACACGAATGAGAAATCAAATTTTTTTTTTTTTTTTTTTTATAACAGATTAAATAAAATTTGAAATGATAATGATAATACGTAAAAAAAAGAAATTGTTTCCGGTTAAAAAAAAAAAAAAGAAAATTTCTCGAATTTTCTTTATCGTCAATTAATAATATTGTTTTTTCCTTTTTTTCGCACGAAATTTCGATTCGTATCATTATTATCGTAATGTTTTAACCTTTTTCGTTTCACCGTCGGATTAATATATATATATATAATAAAAAAATATAAAAAGGAAAACATCAATGCGTGTAAGAGAGGAGAGGGGAGAGAGATAGAGAGAGAGAGAGATATAGTG